ACGATTCGTATTCGTCTTCTTCTTTCTTCTCTCTCTCTCTCTCTCTCTCTCTCTCTCTCTCTCTCTCCTTCTCCGTCGTTGCTTCGAGGACGAACGTTCGTTCCTCAGCCAACCGCGGCGCGCCAACATTTTAAATATTTTCGTGTCACCGGTTGAAATGAATGACCGGCGACACGCGTCATTATCGTGTTGTCAAACACGGAACATAATTTAACGTGTTCGTAAATTAAACGGGGGATTTATATCTTTGTCACGATCTTTGTGTATATAATCGTGCGTCGGGAGCGTGATAGTTCTTGCAACGGACTCGGGTGAATGAAGCGGAGTAAGAATGAATGAAATACCTTTCTAAGAGGATAGGAGAGAAGCCGTTGAAGCCGCGCAACATCTCGACGTTTATTATCTTTCGTGTGACTACCGTGATTTCCAGTTTTTCTTCCATACGTGTATACACGTGTACATACACGTATATATATATATATATATATCCTTGTCGTCGATAATTATTTTTCAGACTTGTATCGTCGTTATCGTTACGATCTCCAACGAAACGCGATTCAAACCGACAATTCAATACCGCGAGATCGAATCTCTACGAGGCGAAAAGAAGGTGAAACACGGGAGAGGGGAGGAGGTGCGTGGTCGAAATCCGTCGTCATCCGGATTCGAGTGACCCGGCAAACTTTCGTCGACGATTTATGGGACGATGGCTGGATAGGCGCGATAAGATAGGGAAGAAGGGAGAAACCGAAGCGGCCGATTGACCTGCGGCTAAAGACACGGGTGGTCCGTTATGCCCCAGGGTCACGCGCGAGGCAATCAGCCGCTACACACAGTGTAGTCACCCGATGCTCCTATTTCATCGTTTCGCCGCCCTCCTCCTCGACCCTCCCTCCCCCCGCCATTCGTCGAACAGTCGGAAACGGGTTTGTTGTCCCGATCTCCGTCCAGCCCGTTGTCTCCCGTATTCGCCGTATTGGAAGGAATGCGCGCGGTCGGATAACTCTTTCAACGCGTCCCAATCTTCGCCTCCTTTTCCTTCCTTCCTTCGACGATCAATTTTCGTCTCTTCCCTTTCGATCGATACCCATACGCGAATACACCTGCGAGTATACAAAGATGTTCGGGAACGAAGTGAAAAAGTTAAGAGCCGATTATTGTAATTATAATTGTAAGGGGGACGGGATCCGCCTTTCTTCCTCCTCGAGTAAATTATGCACAATCCGACGCAACAGTCAATCCACTTTCACGCTTTCTCGCCGTTTATCCTACCGTCTCGTCTATACCCGTCGAGGAGGAGGAAGAAAGGCGGGGACGCATTCGGAGACACGCATACACGCATACATACTTTGTGTTCGCAGCTGGGAGCGGAGGATGTGGAGGTGGTGGAGGCGATTCCAGGGGAGGACAATCGGAACGAGAATTCAGCGTTGAACAGGCAGGACAACGACATAAACAGCTCGGACCAGTTGGCGTTAGAATCGTTAGGGGAGAAGGACGCGGGCGGGAGCCACTACAAGTCGGGCGGCCTTCGAGGTCACCCCCTTCCCCTGGGCCCGAATCGGGCAGGGCTCGGGCTGCCGCATCCGAGGCCGCACCACAACGTGGCGTACCACGGGCCGCCCCCACCCCTGCCCCCGGCCAAGACCGAGGCGATCGACAAGGTGTACACGACGGGCGGCGGGATGAGCACCGCGGTGGGCGCGGAGCCGTGGCCCGCGCCCACCCCCGACATGCCCAAGATCGTCTCGTTGGACGTGAAGTGCGAGAAAAGCCTGATGAAAGTTTACCTAGGCTTCGACAAACCGTTCTACGGGATAGTGTTCAGCAAAGGCCACTACAGCAACGTGAATTGCGTCCACCTGCCGGCCGGCTTGGGGCGCACCTCGGTCAACTTCGAGATTAGTATTCACGCGTGCGGCACGGCCGGGAACACGGAGAACGGTTTGTACGGGTACGGGGCCGAGTCCGGGTCGGGCACGTACTTTGAAAACATTATCGTGGTGCAGTACGATCCCCAGGTGCAGGAGGTTTGGGACCAGGCGCGAAAGCTGCGTTGCACCTGGCACGACCTCTACGAGAAGTCGGTCACGTTCCGCCGTTCCCCGTCGACATGCTGGACGTGGTGCGCGCCGACTTCGCCGGGGACAACGTCGGCTGCTGGATGCAGATACAGGTGGGCAAGGGGCCGTGGGCGTCCGAGGTGTCGGGCCTGGTCAAGATCGGCCAAACCATGACCATGGTGCTCGCGATCAAGGACGACGACTCCAAGTTCGACATGCTCGTGAGAAACTGCATGGCGCACGACGGTAAACGGGCCCCGATCCAACTGGTCGACCAGAGGGGTTGCATCACCAGGCCCAAGCTCATGTCCCGCTTCACCAAGATAAAAAACTTCGGCGCCTCGGCCTCGGTCCTCTCCTACGCCCATTTCCAGGCGTTCAAGTTCCCCGACTCGATGGAGGTCCACTTCCAATGCACCATACAGATATGCCGATACCAGTGCCCCGAGCAATGCTCCGAGTCCCCTTTGCTGCTCGAGTCCCAGGGCCTTCTCGACCCTCACCACTCCCCAACCTCCAACGCCCACCCCGATTCCGCCTACGCCCTCCCCCCACCCATCCCCCTCCCGCTCGAGGCCTACCTGCAGGCGGCCGCAGGCCGCCCGCGGGACGAGAGGCGAAGGAAATCCCGCGAGGTAATACCCCAGAAGGCGGTCGGGGTGAATCGCATAATACGGGTGGTGTCCACGGGCGACCTCACCTTCTCCATCGGGGACGAGTCGGGGAACGGCGAGCTCCCGGGGGGATCGACCATGGTCTTCCCCGTGAGGAACGAGAGCGGCCCGAGCGCGGCCACGATGATCTGCATGACCACCCTCGGATTCGTCGTCACTCTCGTTATACTTCTGGCCGTCTTGCTGCTCTCCTGCATACTGTCCACCTACCTCTGCCTGCGCCTAAGACCGTTCTCGGCTAGATCTAGAAAGGCTGCCGCGTATCATAACGGGGAGCAAAGCGCGGCTAAAAAGTCGATCAGGACGTGTTTTTACTCATAGGTTTTCTTTTTTTTTTTTCCTACTCGATCGATTGTCGGCGAAAAGACGCGAGATACGATACCGTCCGTTTCTCCCTCCTTACTTTCGCGCCAAGAATCAAGCCTAGGGGTTTCTGCCTGAAAGAGACTGGTTTCACGATTTTCTTTTTCGACGTAGCGTTACTATTATTTATCGAGATAACGGAAAAATTGTTAACGTTGTTAACGTTGTTTAGCTATATATATATATATATATATATATAGTAAGAAGAAAGGAA